GGATTACGTTGATTGTTTTTCTGATATTGAACCATCCTTGCATCCCTTTTATGAAACCCACTTGGTCATGGTGTATTATTTTTTTGATGTGCTGTTGGATTCTGTTGGCTAGGATTTTGTTGAGAATTTTTGCATCTGTGTTCATGAGGGATATTGGTCTATAGTTTTCTTTTTTAGTGATGTCCTTCCCTGATTTTGGTATGAGGTTTATGCTTGCTTCATAAAAAGTATTAGGGAGTTTTCCATCCTCTTCTATATTCTGGAATAATTTGAGTAGAATTGGTGATAGTTCTTCTCTGAATGCTTGGTAGAAGTCACCTGTGAAGCCATCTGGGCCTGCACTTCTTTGGGTTGGGAGTTTTTTGATGACCTGATCAATTTATTCTTTTGTTATGGGTCTGTTCAAGCTTTCTACTCCACTCTGAGTAAGTTTAGGTAGGTCGTGTTTTTCTAGACATATATTCATGTCTTCTAAGTTTTCTAATTTGTTGGAGTTCAACTCTTCATAATATTCTGTTATTATCCTTTTGATTTCCATTGGTTCCGTTGTGACATCGCCCATGTAGTTTCTAATGCGAGTTATTTGTGTCCTCTCCCTCTTTCTTTTGTTACTTTTGCCAATGGTTTGTCAATTTTATTAATCCTTTCAAAGAACCAACTTCTTGTCCTGTTGATTTTTTTTCTGTAGTTTTTCTGTATTCATCTCTTTTATTTCTGCTCTTATCTTTGTTATTTCTTTTCATTTGGTGACTGTAAGTTCCCTCTGCTGGTCCATTTCTAATTGTTGGAGATGCTGTGTTAATGTGTTAATTTTGGTTGTTTCCTCTTTTTGGATGTGCACATTTATTGCAATAAATTATCCTCTCAGCACCGTTTCACCATGTCCCAAAGATTTTGCTATGTTGTGTTTTGTTTCTCATTTGTTTCTAGGAATTTTGTGAGTTAATGTTTAATTTCTTTTATTATCCAGTCACTTTTCAGCATGGTGTTATTCAGTTTCCATATGTTAAACTTTATTTCCTTAGTCTTCTTATTGTTTCTAGTTTTATGGCATTGTGGTCTGAAAAGATGCTTTGTAGTATTTTTGATGTTTGTAAATTTATGGAGGCTTGCTTTGTGACCTAACACGTGGTCAATTCTGGAAAATGTTTCATGTGCACTGGAGAAGAATACATACTGTGTTGGTGTGGGTTGGATGTTCTGTACACATCTATGCGGTCAATTTAAGAGAATCTATTGTATCCTGTAATCTACTTGACATCCTTACCACCTGGATATCTGTTGCTACGTTTATCCCTTCTTTGACAATGTTATAATTTTGATCTTCAGTTGACCTCCCAACTCCATTGAAGTCATTGTTGTAGTTTTGTTCTTTTCTGGACTCTGCTATCTGTCGACCAAGTTCCAGGTGATGTTGCTGCGCCTGTCAGTCTCTGGTTGTTTTCTGCTCTTGTTGGTTTTCAGTCCAAAGAAGTCCCTTTACGATGTTTTGAAGTGCTGGATTGGTTTTGATAAAATCTGTTAGATTCTGTTTATCCTGGAACGTTTTGATTGCAATGGATATTTGCAAATGGATATTTGATTGAGAGTTTTGCTGGATAGACAATTCTTGGTTGGCAGGTTTTTTCTTTTAGGGTTTTATATATGTCTCCCCATTGCCTTCTTGCCTGCATGGTTTGTTCTGAATAGTCAGAGCTTAATCTGATTTGCTTGCCTTTTATACGTGACACTTCTCTTCTTTCTGGCTGCTTTTAGGAATCTCTCCTTGTCTTTGATTTTGGAGAGCTTGATTATTATATGTTTTGGTGACTTTCTTTTGGGGTCTATCCTTCCTGGGGTACATTCAGCTCTTGAATGTTTATCTTCTCATCTTTCAAGATGTTAGGGAAATTTTCTTCCAGAAGCTTGTCAACTGTTTCCTCTGTGGACTTCTCTGATTTTCCTGTTCTGGAATGCCAGTCATTCTTAAGTTGTTCTTCTTCATGTTATCCAGCATGAATCTCAGACTCTCTCCAGATTTTTTTATCCTTTCTTCAGCTTGCTCTTCTATCTTAGCAGAATTGAGAGATTTGTCTTCCAGCTTGCTCGTTCTGGCTTCCTTCTGTTCTGTTCCTTTCCCCTTTCAGTGTATTGTCCATTTCTGATATTTTATTAATCATCTGGACCTCTTTTTGCAGGTTTTGAATTGTTTCCAATGTTGTATCCATCTTGTTTGATTTCTCTTATAGTACTTTCCTGACTTCTTCCTTGTTTTCCTCCACCCCTTTTTGGAGCATTTGAATTTGTTTCCATATCATTCTTCTGAATTCTTTCTCAGGCAAATCCAAAACCTGCTCTTCCTCTTCTGGGGAGCCTTTGTCTCCAGCGCATTTGTCTCAGTTACTCTTTTCTGTTTTGGGACATGTTTTGAGATCGTTTGTTATATTTGAGACCTTTTGTTTGTCATTTCCTGTAGTTGTGTGGGTTTTTTACTGCTTAAATGGATATTTGTTGTTGTGTTATTAAGCTTACTGGTGTCTCCTGGTATATATGATCAGGAGATAGGCTTTCCGTTTAGCAGCTGTTATTGGCTCTTGTCTCAATGGTGGAATATTATGGGGTATGCTTGTAGCTTGGCTATAATTGGCCACAATTGCTGTCTCTTCTTGGGTAACATAGGGAGAAAAAGCTCCTACCACCAGAAAAAAATGTGTGATCAAAAAGCCCAAAAGTAGAAGCAATATAAAAGCAGAGACAAGAATCTCCACTTTGAAACAAAAATAAAATATTGTGTGTGCACCGTAGAAGCCTCCAGTAGTGGGCTGGGGTATCCACTCACTCAGGCCCCTCCTGTAGTCACCACCACTATTTTTATTTCTGAAGGTCAGTTAACTTTCTACGTGTGCACAGTGTAATCCTTAAAATAGTTGTGTCTTTCAATGTTGAGGTATTACAGATTGTTAATATGGTTTGTCTATCAGGCCAAATCTGCTTTTTTTCCTTTCTGGATAGACAGGGGTTAATGGTCCCGCACCAGTTAACTTTAGGGCTGGGACCCACAGGCAAAAGTCAAAAGCAGCAGCCAAAGATGTTCCCCTTGGACCGATGGGGCTCCTTTTCTCTGTGCTGTGGGAAAGCTGTGGTCTCATGCTGGACTTTTTGGAGGTGCGCACCCACCCACCTGAATGTGTCCTGTTTGGGCAAAGCAGGCACAAACAGGGAAGAGGAGGGGAAAAAAAAAAACCATGTAGAATCCCGCCACACCTCCTTTTGCAAATGTCACTTCACTGCTTTTAGAGCAGGTTCCCTGTGATGGTCTGTCTGTAGTCCTGCCCTCTGAATTCCGCCCAGGCGGGATGACTGCAGAGGGAGTCTCCTGCTGACCAATTTCTAAAACGCAATGTTTTCTTTTATACCGTGATTTTTCCACTGGCGGTTATGGGAAACTGACACCCTGACCCTTATGCTAGATCCAGAGCTCTGGTGCATTTTTGTGAGAGCCTTGTCTCTGGGTTTTCAGCCCCTCCCCTATGGTGCCTGTCCTACCTGACCTGCTCTGCCACCGCCAAGCAGAAGTCATGTCCTTTGAATTTTACAGTCTGAATATCCCCTTAAAAAGCAATTGAAGTACTGAAAGTTTCAGTGATTTATTTATCACCACTTGAGTCATTTTTCACTGTTCACTAACTGACAGGACCAACTTATGTATACCATGGTGGTAGGGTGTGTTTCTAATTTTAAGTATAAACTTTACAAAGACTGTATTCTATATAGAATACCCAAATAAATAGATGATAGCAAATGTACTTAAAATTTCTATTTATATTAAAGGTACATATCTTTTTTGTGTATCAGTTACCATATTACCTTTTACTTTCTACTAGATATGAGCACTTTTCTTCATGCCTTAATCAGGTACTAGGTCTTCTTAATGGGAAGGATCCTGATTCTTCTTTAAAGGTATGTGGAAATACAACATTTTGTTTCATTTTGAACTTATAAAAAGTGATAAAGTACAGAAAAACATTAAGTACCGTTGCTCTCTGAATTTTCACAAACTGAACAAAATTATATAGCAAGTACTAAGATCAGGAAACAGCATGACCAGAACCCTAGAAGCCTAGAAAACCTTCTTATGTTCCCTTTAGTCACTACCCACCCCTTCACATTTCTCACCTTCAATAAGGATAACCACTATCCAAAGTTCAATAGTATTTTTTTCCCCTTGTTTTTTGAACCTCATGTGAATAAAATATTTTAGAGTGTTATCTAGAGTCTTTTGTTCAACATTATGTTAGATCCATCCATGTTTATTTCTTCAGTTGATGGATGTATATTGGCTATTATGAAATTCTGGCTTTTAGCATTTTCTGCCTGACTTTTCATTGAGTTCATGTTTCCCTTGGGTATAAACCTAGCTGTGAAATTATTGAGGTATGTGTTTGTTCAGGAGGTACCATGAAACTGTTTTCTAAAGGAGTTATACCAGTTAATAAAGATTTCAATTGCTCTGTCTTGTTCATACTTGGTAATTTTCATGTTTTCTTTTTTAGTCATTCTACTGGTTATATAACAGTATTGCATTATAATATAAATTAGTATTTTAATGCACAGTGAAGTTAAATATCATGTATAATATTTATTGGCCAGGTGATATCCCATTTGGCGATGTATCTGCCTTTTCCATTTGTCTATTGTGCTATCTTTTGCTTATTTATATGTGAGAGTTATTTTAGAAAAATTCCTTTGTCATACATGTGTCTCATACACACAGAATATCCGATTCTGTTCTGTAAGTTTTCTTTTCACTCTTTATGTTATCTTAATTTTAATATAGCTTCTTTTATCAGTCATCCTGTTTGGATTGGTACTTTTTGTATTTCATTTAAGAATTCTGGGCTCACTCCAAGATCACCAAGGTAGATGCCCATTGTTTTCTTATAAAAGCTTTATAGTTCTACCTTTTACATTCGCTATGAGTTGGAACTGATTCAGTGGGTTATTTGAAGTGAAGTAGAACTCATCACATTGTCAGGCCAGATTTTATCCTATAAATTTTTACAAAATAAAAATGTTAGAATGGCTTTGAACTACCCTTCTGTAACAGTGAATCTAGACAACAAATGCAGACCATTTACACCACCCAGGAATCTTGTAAAACATGATTGTTGTTGTTGATATGTGTTGTTGAGTCAGTTCGTACTCATAGAGACCCTGTAAAGGGTTTCTTTACTGCTGATCATAGTGCCGCGCCAGGAGTCCTTAGAAGAAGGTAGAAGAATTGAAATAGTATGGAGTTTATTATCTGTTTTCTTTTTTTTATAGTTTATTACTTGCCATTTTTCATAAGGTGGAGTACTTGGATAATATTTTCTAAATGTTTTTGTACCAAAGAATATCCAAAATTTCTCTTATGTGTAATAAGAGAACTATGCTTAATCACTATTTCAATAGATCTTTGTAGATTGACTAAAGATAGGTAATAGGAGTGCTAAATAAAAATTATTAGAATACAAAGTATATACAGCAAGGGGAAAATATAATAATATTGAGCTAAACGTATTAGACTAGCTAAGGAGCTCAGGGAAGACAAAAGAGTAGAAGCATTACAAAGTGTCATGCTGACAGAAAACCTAAAAGTATGGGAAAGTAAAGTATTAATTCATAGATATTGAGAGCAGTGAAAGCAAAAGGCACCTTGGTGTAGGGGAAAAGAGATAACTTATATGGCAGTGCAGTGGCTCCTTATAATAAGTACTGGACTGTGAACCACAAGGTCCACAGTTTGAGCACACCATAAAAAGCTTAGAAAACCTTATAGAGGTTGGCTAAGAGACAGAACTGACTCGAAGGCACTAAACAAAACAGCATTTTTTATAGCGTACTAGACAAATATGTTTAATTATAAGGCCAGTGTAACCTTAATGTCAAAATTTGACAAGGATGGTATAAAGAAGGAAAATATTGACCAGTCTCTTTCATAGATGCAAAATTCTACATAAAATATTAGCAAATCAGAGCCCAAAACCCACTGCCATGGAGTTCATGCCAACTCATGGCAACCCTGTACAGTGTTTTTGAAGCTGTAAATCTTTACAGGAGCAGAAAGCCTCGTCTTTTTCCTATAGAGTAGCTGGTGGGCTTTAACTGCAAACCGTGCAGTTCAGAGGCCAATGCTTTTCCAATAGCTACAGTGATATTGGGTCACTTTGTTGTTGTTAAGTGCCATCGAGTCGGTTCTGACCCGTAGCACCCTGTATAGGGTTTCCAAGAAGCAGCTGGTGAGCTTGAACCACCATCCTTGCAGTTCAAACAGCTTTGCAGTCTGGTGCATTAACCCACAGCGCCACACCAGGACTTATTCCAGGAATCCCAGGGTGATTTATCATTCTGGTTTAGCCTCACAGAATAGTACAGGTAAATCATATTATCTCATTAAAGACAGAGAGCGCATTTGATAACATTTAGTACTCATTCATGATAAAGATTATAAAAGTAGGAATACATAGAAACTTTCTCTATCTGTTAGAGTAACTACCCAAACCTATAACACCATTGTATTTAATGGCAATTATTAAAAGCTTTCCCCAGACCATGAGTAAGAGAAGGATGTCATTATCACCAGTTGGGTTTGTTCATCACTATTGGTGGTGCCAATCAATCCAACATTTTAAGAAAAATGAGTAAAGAACATAGTAATTGCAAAAGAAGTAAAACTCATTCAGATTAAACTTGAGATTTATTAAACAATGAAGCTTTTAGATGAATCACCTAGAATATCTTCATAACTTGGGGATAGACACAGGTTTTCTTAAACAGAACACAAAAACACTAGTCTTAAAGGAAAAAAAAAATAGGATAAATTGGGCTTAATTAAAATTTCTTCTGTTCATAAGACTGCCAGTAAAAGAGTGAAAAGGCAACTCAGAATAGACAGATACCCACAATACAACGTTTAACAAAGGAATCCTGTCCAAATGTGTTTATGTATCTTAAAAACATAACACATCAGAAAAAAACCTGATAATCCAGTAGATAACCTGACTGAAAAACGTCAGTTGGTTAATAAACATGAGATTGTTGCTTAACTTCATTAATCTTTGAGGCAATATTAATTTAAACAGTAGTGCAATACAATTAAGCAGCCATGTGTACTAGAATAGAACTGTGCTTCATAGGTTTTTTAATGACTTGCTTTTTCAGAAGCAGATCACTAGGTTTTTGTTCCAAGTGGACTTTGTGGACTCAGAAAAGCTCCAACCCTTTGGTTAGCGCCTAAGCGTACCACCCAGGGACTCCTACTAGATGGTTAACATATTAAGTATAGAAAAGAATGTAGTATATCTGTTGCACTCATACATTACTGATGGGACTGAAAATTGCTACATCTACTGGCTGTATTTATTAATGCTGAATATATGCGTACACTCTGACCCAGCAATTCCACTCATAGTGTTTACGTCAAAGAAATGCATACATATATATGTTCACCAAAAGACTTACAAACCGTTAATAGTAATACTTCTCCTCATAACCCTAAACTGGAAAGAAACCAGTGTCTGTCAGCAGTGATGATGGTGGTGTGCTGTGGAGTTGGTTCCGACTTTTAGTGACCCTGTATAGGGTTTCTGAGTCTGTAAATCGTTATGGGAGCAGAAAACCTGATCTGATCCTTCTCCCACAGAATGACTGTTAATTTCGAACTGCTGATCTTGAGGTTAGCAGCCCAACTCGTAACCACTATGCTACCAGAGCTCCTTGTCTATCAATAGTAGAATGGATAAGTAAACCATAGTATACTGGAAAGGAGTCCTGGTGTGGCACTTTGGGTTAATGCACTAGACTGCAAAGCCGTTTGAACTGGCAGGTCGGTGGTTCAAGCTCACCAGCTGCTCAGAAACCCAATACAGGGTCGCTATGGGTCAGAATCGACTCAACGGCACTTAACAATACTGGAAAGGAATCCTGATGTAGCGCTGTAGGATAAGCACTGGGCGTCTGACCTCAAGGTTAGCTGTTCAAAACCACTAGCTGCTCTTCAGAAACACTATACAGGGTCTCTGTGAGTCAGAACTAACTCCAAGGCACTTAGTTCAAAACAGTATATTAGAACACTACACAGCAATGTGTTTGAATGAACTAGAACTACATGCAATATGGGTGAGTCTCATGTAACGGTAAGCAAAAGAAGCTACACATAATAAAAGTGTACATCAGGACTCTATGTAAAGTTACATTTGAGTTTCATTGTATAAATTGGAAGGCTGATTCAAAAATTTCTATGTAAATGATAGGTCCAAGAATAGCGAAGACAGATTTAATCTAAGGTGTCAGAAGTCGGGTATGGGAGGGGAGTGGTAGTGTGTTTGTAGTTGGGACCTTGTCTAGTACTAGGGGTTCCTAAGGTGCTAGTGGATTTTCTGAGCTGGTTGCCAGTTACACCAGTGTATTCATTTTGAAAATCCATGTACCTTTACACTAATGATTGCTCAGTTTAGTTTTGTGTTTCTGTTGTACTTCAGTTAAGTATACATGAGAAAGTGTGTATATATATGTTTGTGTGTGAATTACTCATCTATGGTAGGATATATAAGAGGCTGGTAACATAACTTTCCTTCAGGGAGAGTAATAACTAGCAGTCATGGTAGTACCTTTGACTTTGGAACCCTGCACATATGTTGCCTATTCAAAAATAAGTACTAGAAATTATATTTTAAAAATAGATCAAAGATTGGTGTCATTTTAAAAATAAATGTTAATGAACTAAATTCTGTTAAAACCAGGTACTTTCCCAATTATAAGGAGCCCAGGTAGTAGTGTAGTGGATTAGGAACAGGGCTGCTAACCCCAAGAGCAGTAGTGTTTGAATGTACCACTTGCTCCACTGGAGAAAGATGAGGCTTTCTGCTCCCATAAACGTTTATAGCCTTGGGAACCCTATATAGGGTTTCTGAGTCAGAACTGACTTGGTGGCATACAGCCACCACCATTAGAACCATTCCAATTATATTTCCTTTACATGAAACAGTAATAAAGAGGTAGAAAATGATTGGCTAGACAAGGAGATATCAAGAAAATGCGAACAAAATTATAGGTTGATAGTATATGCTGTGGTATACTACCTAACAGAATAAGGCCCAATTCATGAATTAGAGAAGAAATGGAGAGGCAAGTAGTCATTAAGGTGCATAATGCAACAGTGTACACATTTAGTATGGAAATATTCATCTTCAACATTTAAAGCTTTGGAATACCACTTTTAAATTTTACCCTAAAGTTGTTATAGTTGTTGTTTGTTGTTGGTAAGTGCCATCAAGTCATTTCTGACTTATAGCAGCCCTATATAGGGTTTCAAAGGAGCCAGCTGGTGGGCTTGAACTGCCGACCTGTGGTTCACAGTCCAGTGCTGATCCTACAGCATCACACCGTTAAATCTTAGGATGACAGTAAGTTTTCTTTATTATTTTTATATTACATTTTTCATTATAAAAACGTGGTGGTTACACCCAAAAGTATGCATGCAGTAGGAAGGAGAACGTTAGCTGAAGTTGCCTTCCCCTCTGGCTCTCACAATCTTGCTTGTCAGAGGTTGTTGTTGGTACCACTGAGTGGATTCCAACTCAGTGACCCTCGAGTACGGAGTAGAACATTACTGTGGAGCCCCTGGGTTTCTTATGCTTAAATCTTTATGAGAACAGATGACCAGCCTCTTAAATTCAAATCAGCCTTTCCTTTAGCAGCTGAGCACTTAACTATGGCAACACCAAGACTTCTTTCATTAGAGGTAATCACCATTAGCAAACCTTTTCTAAATTTGGAACCTAATCACACAGTTGACTGAAAGAAAAATTAGACATTGCTTTCAATTTTTGTTTTAAAGAATTTTCTTTTAAACAAATATAGTTTTCAGTGTCATCATTTGATTGTTTTATATGTTGAAGTCCAATGAAATTGACATTTAATGAAGACTTTATATTGCACAGGTTTTAGAATTACTTCTTGCCTTCTGTTCAGTGACTCAGCTGCGCCACATCCTTACTCAGATGATATTTGAACAAGCTCCATCTGGCAACACTATACTGGGAAGCCGTTCTAAATGTTTAGAACCTACCGTGGCTATACTTCGTTGGTCAAGCCAACCTTTGGACACCTCAGAAAACTGTTCTATTTTAGCATTACAGTTGTTCAAGGAAATATTTGAGGTAATAATGAAATTATTGACAAATTGACTTTTCCACTTTGCATTAACAATTTGTTGGGTTTTTTTTTTTTTTTTTTTCAGAAATGCTCACAGTAAATTTTCAGCCATTCATTTGCTTTAGAAAACAAGATTTGTATATTTGGTTGTTTTGTCACTATGTTTGGTACATTATTATGCCAGTGGTCACTTTCTGTCTCTCCATATCAGTCGATGGAGTCCTGGTGTGGCGCTATGAGATAATGTGCCAGACTGCAAAGCCGTTTGAACTACAAGGTTGGTGGTTCAAGCTCACCAGTTGCTCCTTGGAAACCACCCTATACAGGGTCGCTATGGGTCAGAACTGACTCAACGCAACTTAACAACAACAACATATCAGTAGATACTGTCTATTGACTTTATTATGCTGTTGACTAGATTAATATAGAGACACAAGTCAATCACTGAAGTGAATTGGAGCATATGTATGTAAAAGTGATTGTGTTTGTTGAGGTTAATATACAGATTATTTATATTCCATTTTATGTTAGTTCAGTATTGGGCATTTTACAAAAACCATTGATAGTCTTGATGGAAATTATTCATGGTTGTAAAGTGCTAAGACCAAGATCTTTATTTGATATTGTGATTATATCTAGCAAACTCATGATATTACTTCTCAATAAATACTTCTAATTTAGAATAATTTAAAAATCAAAGACCTTGGTCTTATTCTTCTAGAACAAGACAGCCTTTTTCCATTTGAAAAAGAGGTCATCATGCCCTTGAAACTAGATGAAAAGGAGATTTTGAACATGAATTATAAAATAGGAGACTCAGGTCAATGAAATACTGGAGTAATTTTAAGATATTTAAAAAATGATGAAGAGTAAACATGACCATTTTTACATTTTATATTATATCTTTATTTTTAATTGGTGATTAATTCTGCAGGATATCATCGATACTGCTAGCTGTTCCTCAGCTGATCGTTTTGTGACCCTTCTGCTGCCTACAATCCTTGATCAACTTCAATTTATAGAACAAAAGCTAGATGAGGCCTTAATAAGAAAAAAATCTGAACGAATGGTCAAGGCCATTGAAATTTTGTTAAATATCCTTTTCTGTCATCAGCATGGAAACTAAATAATCACTTGCTCTCTTTCTCTAGTTTTGCAGTTACACATTGTCTTTATTTGCAACCAAGTCTTTAATGTTTTCTAGACTTGTTTTTCTGCTTAAAACCGTAATGCTGAAATTCATTTAAAAAAAAACACAACAAAAAAAATTTTTTAACTTAATTTGAATATCATTACAAATTGAGATTAGAAGATACATCCTAAAATGATTGTTCTTTTCCTCCTTGTTAATCCATCTGATTTTAATGTTAATTGCTGCCCCTGGATTGTAAATAGTGCCATTTGTTATTGGAGCATTTCAGAAGATAAGGAGATATTGATAAAGTTATTACTATTTTAGTCCTGTTTTTGTAGTTTATATTTTAAAAATGAAAATCAACCTCTGTAAATGTTTTAGTCATGAGTAACATCACACTGGATTATAAAAAAGGCAAATATATCAATATAAATTGATTCATTTCAGAAAAAGAAAAACTTAAGTATAGTTAGTGTCATTGCTTAAGTTGTATACAATGATTTTCTTACATCTTTTGTGTTGATTATTTTCAATAGCTAATTCTAAGTTGTTAAGTCCAAGTTCAAATCCTTTTAATGTTTCATTAATGTTTCTTATGAATAATGAGCCTCTGTATCTCTCAGCTTTATCTCTTAGATTTATCAATAAGAGTTCCTTGTGTCTCAGAACAAGGTTGTGCTCAACTTTGTTCTTTCCTAGAGCAAACTTCATCCCTGTTTAATCTTCTTTTGTTGTTGTTAAGTACCACGGAGTTGGTTCCGACTCATAGCACTGGGTTTCCGAGGAAGCAAATCTGTATGGGAGCAGAACACCTCATCTTTCTCCCGCGGAACCACTGGTAGTTTCTAACTGCTGACCTTGAGCTTGGCAGCCCGACTCGTAACCACTACGCTACCAGAGCTCCTTTTAACCTTTACTGCTCTGTAATTTCTAGTCCTTTCATAGCAATGAGTACACATCTTGGTGAAAACATCAAGGGAACAGTTTTAGAAACTTAAGAGAATCCAGTTTATTTGGAATCATGTGAAAACCTAGAATCAATGTATGTGTGTGTATTTGAAATATCAAGTTGATTCTAACATGCAGCCAAATTTGATAGTCACTGCTATCGGGATCCATGATTACTCTGCTTGATCTTGTTATTGTTTGGTGGTGTTGTTTCCGAATTATAGCAACTCTGTGCACAACAAAATGAAACACTACCTAGTCCTGCACTACGCTCACGATGATATGATTGCCCACAGTTGCTGCCACTGTGTCAACCCATCTCATTGAAGGGCTTCTTCTTTTTCTCTGACTTCACTTTTCCAAGCATGATGTCATTTTTCAGGCACAGGTCCCTACTAACAACATGTCCAAAGAACGAGACAAAGTCTCAACATTCGCGATTCTAAGGAGCATCATTCTGGCTGTACTTCTTCCAAGACAGATTTATTTGTTCTTCTAGCAGTCCATGATACTTTCAATGTTCTTCTCCAACATCATAACTCAAATGCATCAATTCTTCTTGGGTTTTCTGTATTCATTGTCCAGTTTTCATATGCATATGAGGCAAAGTGACATCTTTGCTCTTAAACATTTAAAATGATATTTTGCAACAGATTTGCCTAATGTAATACATTGTTTGATTTCTTCACTGCTGTTTCCATGAGCATTCGTGAGGTATTTATTGGCCCAGTTGGTGAGGATTTTTGTTTTGTTAACATTGAAGTGCAATCAGATGGAAAGCTATGGTCTGTGATCTTCATCATTAAGTATTTCACTTCCTCTTTACTTTGGCAATGTTGTGTCATCTGCATATTGCATTGTTGTTAAATGACTATTCTTCCAATTCTGAAGCCATGTCATGTAATCTAGTTTCTTAGTTTAATTGCTCAACATACAGATTGAATAAGTATCATGAATACAAATCTGTTGCACACCTTTCCTGATTTTTAAACCACTCACTATTTATTTCCTTGCTCTGTTGAATGTTTGCCTCTTGTTCTATCTTAAAGTTCCTTTGAGCACTTAATTAAGTGTTCTGGAATACCCATTCTTTTTAATGCTGTGAATAGTTGTTATCTACACAGTTGAATATGTTTGTCAATAAAATGCAAATAAACTTCTTTCTGATATTCTATGCTTTCAGTCAAGAGCCACCTGATGTCAGCAGTGATATCCTTAGTTCTATGTCCTCTTAATCCAGCTTGAAATTCTGGCTGCTTGACCTTACTGTTTGTACTTAATATATTAAAGGAGTCTCATTAAAATGACCAGAACCTGGTTTCTTTTAGTGATAGGTATTAAATTTGTCATATACTAAATATAAAATAATAACTTCCTTTAAATTGTGGAGCCATTATGATCACTGCTAACAAATGATTATCATTCAGTGTTAAAAGATAAATCTTGCTTTATTTATACTTAAAAACATTTGGTGCTATTCCATCTATGTTATTTACCAGACACTTAAATTTCCTGAGCTGCAAATTTCCAAATCTGTTTAAACAAATGTAAATTAATTACACAGGACTTCAATGATGAGGCATTTTGTATGAAGTCACCCTAAGTACTATAAAACCAACTAGTTGCCTTCGAGTTGATGTTGCTTCCTGGCTGTGCTGTGTGTTTCAGAGAAGAACTCTGCTTCTTAGGTTTTCAGTGACTCATTTTTGAGAAGTCAATCATCAGGTCTTTTTTTTTTTTGAGGTACCTCTGGGTGAACTTGAACCACCTACCTTGTGTTTAGCAGCCAAATGCGTTAACCCTAGTTCACACTGCACAGGGCCTCCAAATGCTGTAAAGTACTTTACAAATGTATCTTGAGAATGTATTGTTTATATCCCTTAACAAAACCTACCTCTGTGCGGAGATGACAATCTAAAAATGCATGTTGCAAAAATCCTGACCACTATCAAATGTACCACTCTGATAGAACAGCAGTTTACTTACGGCAAGATTGACCTGGGGTTTGGAACAAAAGTAGCAGATTCTGAATTGTGGTAAGTATATAAAATCCAAATGACAAAAGTGATAAGGGCAAACTTGCATAAAATCAAAAGATGTAGTTTTATGGCAGTGACTTTTATCCTTTTCCAAGAATCTGGGTATGTTATATCAACTCAAGGTATAGCAAAGAATTGTCAAAATGCCTTTGTAATGAAATGTTTCTAAATTCAATTCATGGATTGGATGCCTTAGGTATTGACTTTTTATTTTTATTTTTTATATTCATTTCGTTCTGTTTTAATTAATTGTGATTGTGTAGCAGTTTTCTATATTCTTGAACATTTATTTTCCGGAAGCCTTTGTGAGATCTTTATGAATTTAATTTTATACTTTACAGTGAAAAGCTGAGTAGTTCTTACTGTAAGTAAAAACTTTCACTGCTGAAGGTTACCTATTACTAGACAACTCTTTTTCTTTATCATTTAAAGGTGGATTTTCACTAATAGTTGTCATTAAGTACTGTCAAGTCGGTTACAACTTACAGAGACCCCATATATGATTTCCAAGAAGAAGCTGGTGGATTTGAACTTCTGACCTTATGATTCAAAGTCCATCGTTGATCCTACAGCACCACACCAAGAGTAATATTTTGTCCACTTTGTTGTTAAGTGCTGTCAAGTCAATTCTGACTCGTAATTACCCTGTATAGGGTTTCTAAGAAACAACTGGTACTGCTTTTCAGGTATAAAGTTCAGAACACAGTCTAGTACGATTCATAAAGCACACATTCTGTGTTCACTAGCTCTACTGCCTAAGATTGCTCTCTAGTTGTTATTCCATTGACAAAACTAAGAATTAAATAGGTCACACTGCTGACTATGGGTCAGAACTGACTCGACGGCACTTAACAACAACAACTGTGGACACTGCCACTAATTTTGAAGCAAAAAGTCTTAATTAATATTTGAAAGTAGAGCAAAAAAACACTTTTAAACTTGGATTATTAATGCCAGTGTTTTATCTTTGGGTCTTGGAGTATAATGATACAGATCTCTATGATATTTTTTACTTCTCATCAGAAATAATACTCTGCTTTCTTGAAGGTTAACTTTTTGTTTTCTTTAGAATTAGGGAGGGAAATAAATTCTAAGCAATCTTTTAGTTGTTGAATTTTAACTACAACTTACTTTTCAAGCAAACTCGCTGCTGATGTAATTTTAAAAACTCTTGATTTGATGAACAAACTTAAACAGTTGGTTCCTGGTATGGAAGTTAGCTTCTACAAGATCCTTCAGGTGAGTTTAAACATTGAAATGTATTCATATGTAAAGGTTTCTTAATATAAGTTTCTGTTTTAATATGATTAATCCTTTGAAGATATTTTCTTAGAATTGACCATTAAGAAAATTTTAAGTTGTTAAGTACTAATAGCATTCTCTAACTAGTTTACTTACATTTAAAGAACCTAAGCATAGGTGCTCCTGAATCAAATGTTCAGACGTTTGTTCAGTGGTGCTTCCTCAGGCTTTTCTCTCTTTGTGTAAGGTTCTTAATTAGATTCTGCTGGCATTTTTAGAGATGGATGTATTTTGGGATTTTGTATTTTGGGATTTTTATGGTCAAGGCTGTAAGGAAATAGAGAAATTTGTGGAAGAAAAAGCTTTCATTGTAATTAATAAGATAAGAAGGAATAATGTAGAAAATAGCTAACAAATTTCAATTTATATATAAGAAGCTCTGGTAGC